TTGCAGAAATCAACAGGGAAATGTAGAAACGTCTAGCATAAGATGATAATAGCTGTGATGACTCCCACATCTGCTTGCAAACTTTTAATGATTTTTCTAGGTAGTGAAGTTTTCTTTCTGATGTAGTCCAACTTGGGAAAATGCACATCTTCAGACAGGGATTGAGCTCTCATTTAGTTGGCTTAATCAATTACCATGAGAATCACATTGTATCTGGGAGTAATGTTTTCCTAGGAGTGCATTAAAATGATGCACAGTAAACAAGGTCATTGACAGAATGGGAGGGAGAGTCCTCCTATCCTGTTCCTTATTTAGTCATGGCTCCTGAGAGGCAGGCTTTCCAAGACACTTCATGCCTGTGATCCTTCATGTCTTTGGGAGTCACGCTGCCCTGAACAAGGGTTTGTAGCATGCTGCACTCAGAGCAAGAGGAGGTATGTACTGCAAACTTCCCACTGTTTCTCTCTTCTCCCCTAATCTACCACTCCATTTACAGTACATTTCAGTGTTTGCTTTGTTTTTTAGATATGTTTTTCTCCTACTTTTCTGTCAAGTTAGGATGTTCCTTTTTTATTTTTTTGTGTACAATACTCCCCTTTGTCTTCATAAATGTGTTTTCTTCTTTAATATTTTTATTCATGTATTTTATGTGTATGTTGGTTTCCCTACATGTATGTCTGTAAAACACATGAGTGGAGTGCTCCAGGAAAATCAGCAGAAAGTATCAAATCCTCTGGATTTGTTCTTACAGACAGGTAAGAGCCTCCATATAGTGATTGGAATTGAACACAGGCTCTCTGGAAGATCAGCCAGCACTCTTAACTACTGAGCCATCTCAAGCTCCCATTTTTTCTTTTGATAATATTCTTGCAAATGATCCAATGATTGAATCACAGGATGAATGCCCATCTGAAATTTTATAGTTCTAAAATGTTTTCAAGGATGTTTTAATGTATAGAATTTTGGACATGTCTCTTAAAGCCCCATAGTGGCTTAAGTAGTCATAATGTAATCATTTAACAGGCATTTGGCATGTCCCAGCTGCTGTATACAACATTAAATCCTGGTGCTTAGTTTTTCCTTCCAGACAACAGTTCAGTCTCTACTGTTAGCATGTTCTCTACTAGACAGTGGCTTTGGCTTTTTTACTGTATGTATCTGCTGCTTGCTATTGTTCTGCTTTTATTTATTTAAATCCTTTATCTTAGATTTCATTTTAAATTTTCTCTTAAGTATACTGTTGTTTTCTCACATCTCTTATCTATTTTACACACACAGTTTTATAGGAGTCACACTGCAGTTCTTTTTTTATTTTATTTTATTGAACATTTGATTCATTTACATTTCAGATGTCATCTCCTTTCCCCATTTTCCCTCCATAGAAACCCCCTATCACATGCCACCCCCTCCTCCTTTTTGCTTTTACAAAAAGCATTTTAATTACATGCAAGTATTAATGTCAGTTCTAGAATGAGTAACTAGCAATACAATAGATGCATACAGTCAAGGAACAAGCAAGAAAATAAACACAAATAGTCAAAGAACAGTCAAGGCAACTAGCAAAGTTCGATGAACACTCCCATGATCACTGTTTCTAAGGGCTTATAGAATGACGAAAATATCTGAGCCATCTTCTCTGTCCTATCTCAAAGTCATTTTCATGTCTGAAGCCTACTTCCTTCTTCTAGACTAAGATTTAAATTCTTGCCTGAAATTACTTCTTTGTTCTAGCCTAATGTCAGATTCCTGCCTGAAACCCATTTCCTTGTCCTTGGCCAATGTCATATTCCTGCCAAGCAGCCCATTTCCTTGACCTTGGCCCATAATATTTCTTGCCAAGCAGCCCCAAAAGTTCTCTGCTTCTACCCCTTTTTTGTTTCATAGCAAGATTGAGCTGTCTTAGGTTGCTCTGACAAGAATGCCTTGCTTAACTGTGGTGCACTATGCATTATCAAAGGCAATGCACTTCACTCTTAGGTTGGTAGGCCTCTATGCAGAATCTTTGCCGAAAATGAGGTCCATTTTCAGTTTCAAGGGAGATTGGTCTGAAGTTCACCTTCATTGTTGGGTCTTTGTGGGGTTTCAATATGAGCATAATCGTAACTTCATAGAATGAACTGAGTAGTGTTCCTTCTGTTTCTATTTTGTGGAATAGTTTACAGAGAATTGGTATTAGATCTTCTTGGAAGGTCTGATAGAATTCTGCACTAAAACCTTCTGGTCCTGGGCTTTTTTGTAGGGAGATTTTAATGACTGCTGCTCTTTGTTTTGGGATTATAGGACTATTTAGATGGGTTCTACAGAGGGGAAATGCGGAAAGATGATGAGATCTGTATTGTAAATAAATAAAATATCCAAATAAAAAATTAAAATTAAAAAAAGATAAGCTTTAACAGCATGATTGGCAGGAATAAAAGTATTCCCAAGACAATAAAGGGCTTGCAAGATCAAGCTATATATGGCATTCCTGAAGCTTTTGTTTTATTCCCCTGCAGCTCATTTTAATAATGGAGTTTTTCATTATATGATTTCCAAAATTGGCATTTATTTTTAACTTCCTGTGAAATACTTGAGTTTTCACTTTTTTTTGACTGAGGCGTGTGCATATATGTGTATGCTCCCTTGTTCATGCATGTGTAAGGATAGACATTGGCATCACTTGTCTTCTTCTGTCTCTTCCAAATTGTTTGAGTCAGGATCTCTCACTCAACCTGGAGTACATCAGTTGGCTAGTCTAGCTGGTCAGTAGGCTTCAGGGGTCCACCTGTCACCATGCTACCCAGTCCACCACCTTCAACCTTTACATTGAGGCTTGATAGCTAAACTTACTTTCTGAGGCTTGCATGACAAGCACTTTATTCTCAGAGTTGTCTTTCCAGCCCTGTAATGTTATTTTTTTTAAGGCAAAGTAAAGCAATTCTTTACTTTTTTCCAAATATATTAGACTCAATAATTTTGTTAATGTTAACAAAACTATTGTATATCATCCAAACCAGGACATAATAGGATTCAAAGAGAGCTCTACTAATAATTACACAAGTATAACAAGTATAAACTTCAATTTTCCTGGGCAGACTGTAACCTATGATCATCCTGGAAATAGGGATTAAACTACAAGTACATGCAGAAATCATACTGTTCCCATACATATGTGGAAAAGGTAAAAGTGTACTGTTCACTCGAATTGATTTTTGGTAACACTGGCTGTTTCTCACCATTGAGTTTTCAGTGTTAATGTTAATCAACTTCCTAAGTATCACCTTCTGAGTACATACCCATTTCCATTGCTACCTTGTTTTCATTAGCCTAGTTGAAAAATTGACTACTGGATATTCTCATTCTCTCTCTCTCTCTCTCTCTCTCTCTCTCTCTCTCTCACACACACACACACACACACACACACACACACACACACACACACAAACACACTGACATTCATTCTCTCTACACTCTCTTGTTGATACAGTGTATATGTCTAAATCCCCAGGAACTAAACTAAAAAGACAATGCCTAGGTCAAAGAAGACATGCAAAATTTTCGTTAAATGGATAAATTGAGAGAGTTTGTTTTTGCTTCTTTGCAGTACCAAAAACAAATTAAAATGACTCTCCAAAGAATATTATGGCTCTGTATAGTTTTAAGGTGTTGGACTAAATGATCTATACAGTTTCATCCACTGCTAAATACACTGTAACCACTTGCCCCCTTTTTCTGTCTGCCAGTATTTCATCACCATCATCTAGCAAATAAGAACATCTGGTGATCAAGGGGTAGGACACTGTGGATGGATGATAATGTTGATCATTTTTCCAGCAGTAATTCCCTGTTATGTGTTTGTCCCTACAGAATTTGGTTGATACAGAGGTACCCAGAAGATATAGTGGATGATAAACTGTCAATGTAATAATTTGCCTATAACAAAATTATCACAGGATTGCTAAACAATAAGGAATGCTGTGTGTACAAACCAACCATAAGTGATTTATATATTAATGAGAAGTGAGTTAATTCTGGGCCAAGTTAGATTATTACAAATCCCTCAGAAAATTATATAAGAAAAATTATGGTAGTATGCAAAGAACAACTTCTGCAGATAAAAAAAAAAAGAAAAACAAAAAAAAAACAAAAACAAAAGAAAAGAAAAAAACCCTTTTTATCCTACAGCTTTGTGTTAAAGGTATACTACTAATCAAGTTTGATACTAGCCAGATGTTGAATGTTGACAGCTAGTACTGCTAAAATAATTCTGAGGGCCAGGAAATCTAGGCAAAAATAGAACTGTTCAATGCCAAGACAAAACCAAAAAATCCTGAGTTTACAAACATTGTCAGTTCATTTGATTTTTTTCTGAAATTTTTTAAATGGATATTTTATTTACATTTCAGATGTGATCACCTTTCACTGTTTTCCCCCCACCCAGGAACCCCCTATGCCATGCGCCCTCCTCCTGCTTCTATGAGGATGTGCCCCCACCCACCAGATCATTTCCACCTCCCCACCCTCGAATTCCCCCACACTGGGGCATCCAGCCGTCACTGGAACAAGGATCACCTCTCCCACCTATGCCCATCGAGGATATCCTCCCTTATATATACAGCTGGAGCCATGGATCCCTCCCTATATGCTTCCAGGCTGGTGGTTTAGATCCTGGGAGCTCTGGTTGGTTGGTATTGTTGCTCTCACCATGGGACCACAAACCTTTTCAGCTCCTTCACTCTTCTCTCTAACTCTTCCATTGGGAACCCCATGATAAGTTCAATGGTTAGGTGTGAGCATCTGCCTCTGTATATGTCAAAATTTGGCAGACCTCTAAGAACACAGGTATATCAGTCGGTCAGTATGCAATTCCCGACATCCACATCAACATCTATCTTTGGTGACTGCACATGGGATGGATACCCATGTGGAACAGTCTCCAGTCGACTCCTCATTCAGTTTCTATCTCACAATTTGTCCATTTATTTCATACTCTACAACTAACTAACCTGCCCCATATTAACATAATGCTTCCAAGCAACACCATCTTTCAGATCCTTCTCATATTCCAGTTTTGTCTTGGTGTGATAGGAAACTCATCACTGTTAATGTTATATATATACATGTTCCTTTTCAGGTCTCATTTTAAGAAGTTAATAGATTCAGTTTTCCTGCACCTGACAATAGTTAATCTGTCAACAATCATGTTCACATTGATAAAAGATATCATGTTTTCCTTTAGAGTACCCAATTTTCTGGACGATATCGGTTGTAAGGCAGTTTTGTTTTCATTCAGAATCACCCGGGGTTTGTCCATCTGTACAACCTCTGTTCTAAGCATATTTCAAGTCATCACTGTCACTCCCAGTAATTCTAAGTGGGCCTGGCTTAAACCTAGACTCTCTAGATGGATTTTTTATTCCTTACTTTGCTCCTGGCTGATTAACATACTCATCTACGGATATATGCTTGACTTGGTAATTGCCAAAACCAATGTTACTCACATTGGCCATGGTTATTCACATGGTTATTGTCAAAACAAAAAATTTCAGAAGGATGAGTCAGGATCATTTTTTAGCCTTATCATCACTCATGATCTCTTCTATGTGGCCATCATGATGTGGGCCAGCCTCTACATGGTGATCTTCCTACACAGACATCACAAGACAGCCCAGCATCTCCACAGCCAAAGTCTTTCCTCTCAGTTATCTCCTGAGCGCAAAGCCACTCACAGCATTCTGTCTCTGGTGAGCTGTTTTGTGTTAACTTACTGGTTGAACAACTCCATCACCCTTTATGGTTTTTATACAAGAGAAAAAATTCAAAGATTGGAAGCAATTGATACGATTTTAACAACGAGTTACCCAACCATCTGCCCTTTTTTACTCATGAAGAATAATAAAGTTATTTTGCAATTCACTTCCTCATTTCCTGTACTGAGAATGACCTGTTTTCATCGTTCACTCAATGGCTGAACCAAAACCTACACTTACTTGATGTTAAAACAGTGTCTTAATGATTTTCATGGAATAAAGAATTTGAATGTGGACCTTGAATACCTGAAATGACTTAGTTATAATTCAGACATTCAGGACACTAGAAAAGTTCAGGTAGTTGACATTTTTCTTGAATACAATTCCATGTACAAAATTTTAATAATTTTAATATTTATTACCCACTCAAATTATGACATTTTGGCAAAATGAACATATATTAATTATTTTGAACAGTATTTTATTTCTTGATCTCTATTAAAATACTTTAAATCAATATCTTAAAATACTGTTTAGAGCTTGGGTTATGCATTTTATGGTGTTTTCTGTTCTAAGGAACACCTTTTAAGCATTGAACAAATGATTTTCAATTTCTTAACTAAAACTACCACAAATACTTCTGTGGGTGGGACTCTAATGTGGAACAACTGGCTGTTGTCCAATGAATGTCTTGTACCATACCTGAATTTGAGGCACCAATAATTATTTTTCTATTTCAGACTGTTTTTAGTTATTTATTCTATATATGAAATTATGACATAATTAGATCATTTCCCCCTTCCTTTTCCTCCCTCCAAACCCTGCTGTATATGCTTTTTCTTGTTCTCTTTCAATTGCATGGCCTCTTTTTAAGTTAATTGTTGTTATATATGTATGGGTAGGAAGATAATCCTAATTTCATAAATGCTATCTACTCTTTATAACATGACTTGTATATATGAATGTATTCAGGGCTGACCATTTAGTCTTCAACAACCAATTATAATTGAAACAATTGGTATGCTCTCAACATTTCTTAGTTACCTGTAGTTCTTTGTGTAGGGTTGAGACCTCCTTAAGAATCCATGCTGCATCAAGAAGACTTCTCTATGCAATAGTTGGAACCATTGAAAAAAACACTGGGGAGGTGGAAGTGGGGGTTAGGTGGGGGAACATCCTCATAGAAGGAGGAGGAGGGGTGATGGTATAGGACGTCCTTTGGTAGAGGCAGGGGGAATGGGGTAAGGGGATAACATCTAAAATGTAAATAAAATATCCAATAAAATATTTTTAAAAAGAAAGAAAAGAAACACGACCAATGAAAAGGAAGAATAGTGAATCCCAGTCCCAACAGATGTACCAGCAACAGGAATATTGAACCTAAAGCTCAAGGAATGGGAACAGAAAGATTTTCAGAGTCAGAGGACCAGAGAATTTGCTGTGCAATTCATCTGGTAATGTCAGAATCTACAACAATAGACTATCCCCAACATAGCTGGTTTTGTTTGCTTTGGGTTGGGTTGGGTTGGGTTGGGTTGGATTGGGTTGCATTGGTTTAGGTTTGGGTTTTTTTGCTTTGGTTTGGTTTGTTTTGGTTTACTTTGGTTTTTTTTAAGATAGTGTTTCTCTGTGTGGTCCTGGGTATCCTGAAACTCGCTTTGTAGACCAGGCTTGCCTTGAACTTACAGAGACCTATCTGCCTCTTCCTCCCACATGCTGGGATAAAGGCATGTGCCCCAATAGAATTATATTATAGTCCCACCTCCTTTTCCTTACTCTAGACCTGCCCAACAACCCTCCCTCAAACCCCTCCCTCTCATATTCCCCACATACACTCTCAAGTTAATAGCACCTTTTTCTCTCTTTATGATTGATACATACACGTATCTGTGTGTCTGTATATAGGTATATTCACCAATATGTAGAAATACAATCTGCTGAATCTGCTTCTGTTGTTTGCATGTATAATGACAACTCTGCATTTGACAAACAATAAGAGAGTTTATCCCTGGAAGATGCTAATTCTCCTTCTTCAAGCAGTCCTTAGTTGCATGTAAGTTTTTGTCTAGGAGTGGTACTCCAGGAGAATGCTCCTCCCATGTTTGTGTCCATTGAAATTGTCATTGTGTCCATCTTAATTATATAGCCATTTCTTGATGAGTCTTTTTCACAGCAGACTTACTGGTATTCTGGCTCTTACAGTCTTTTATCTCCTCTTTTGCAATATTCCCTAAACCATAGATGCTGGAGCTGTGATGTAGTTGTAGCCATTGGAGTGGGGCTCTCCACAATCTGTTGATTTCTACACAGTGATCAGTTGTGGCTTTCTGTCAAGGTCTCTATTTGATCTGAGGATTTGGAGCTAGGAACCTAAGGTGAAAGAGAACATGCATTTGTCTTTTTTGGGTCTGCTCACCCATATTTCTGTAATGAATCCAAATAAAACATTTTCAACAATCTGTCCTTGACTGCAATCCTTTGACCTGTTATAGCTTTCTCTATCTAGAGTGAATGTTTCCTTACATAACCTAAATTAAGATCATGTGCAACCACTGGCAACTAAACACAACTTTAGGTATTCAAACTTGAATAGGGGTAGAGTGTCTGTTAAGAAAACACTAATAATACATTTACAGAATTTCCACAGCCCCATCAGACCCTCACACTCTCTTATTCCACCTATTCGTTCTCAAATTCATGACCTCTTCTTTTATAATTATCTCTAATATATACATACAAATACACATACATATTACACATTGATTTATTTGTAAACTACTGAATCCAATTAGTATTGTTTGTCTGTATATGTTTATAAGGCTGTTCACTTAAGATTGGATAAAGTATTAGGATCCTTATACTGATTCCTCTTCTTTCAGCAGCCATTGATTACTTGGAGCTCTTCATCTAGGGATGAGGTCTTGTCAAACTGTCCCCACCATGTTGGCATTTCATCTGCTCTTGGCATTATGCAGGTCTCATTTGGACAATCATATTGTTGAGATTTCATTGGTGAAGCTTCCCTATCATACATTGCAGTAATTTTCCTAATCTTCTGGCTCTTACAATCTTTCAGACCCCTCTTCCAAAGAGGTCTCTGAGACTTAAGGGTAAGGACTTCATTGTAGATGTATCAATCAAGAATGGACACCCCAAGGTCAATTACTCTCTACATATTGACAAGTTGTGGATCCCTCCAGTAGTCTCTGTCTGCTGCAAAACAATCTTCTTTGGTGGGGCATGAGAGTTTTACTGTAGATATAAATGTAAGTACATAAAATACAGTTTAAAACTATAGAGTTTGTAGAAACATAACAGTATTATTTAAAAATGAAGTGTGGCTCTGAAAAGAGGGTCTCAAAAGTGGAAATAAAAATGGATAAGTAATAAATTAAAGGTTTTGTCATCCATGTTCTGGTGAGATAGATCAGTGATTAAGAGGACTGACTGCTCTTCCAGAGGACTTGATGCAAGTGTACATCCAGAGAAATCAGTCATACTTTATTTAAAAAACATGTTCACCATTCTTTGTTATCAGAGAAATGCCAATAAAATTACTTTCAGCTGTGAAAATCAATGACATCATTGAATTTGCAGCCAAATGAATGAAACTAGAAACTTTTTTTATTGGATGTTTTATTTACATTTCATATGTTATTACCTTACCCCATTCCCCCCTCTCCCCACCCAGGAACCCCCTATCCCCTCATCCCTCCACCTGCTTTTCTGCAGATTTGCCCCTACCTACACCCCACTCCCACCTCCCCACCCTCAAATTCCCACACATTGGGGCATCCAGTCTTCATGAGACCAAGGATCTCTTCTCCTACCTATACTCGACAGGGCCCTCCACCCTTACATATAGGGCTGGAGCCATGGATCCCTCCCTATGTGCTCCCAGGCTGGTGGTTTAGACCCTAGGAGCTCTTCCATTGGGAACCCCATGATCAATTCAAAGGATAGCTGTGAGCACCTGCCTCTGAATATGTCAGACTCTGGATGACCTCTAAGGAGACAGCTATATCAGGCTCCTGTCAACATGAACTTCCTGACTTCCACATCAGCATCTACCTTTTGTGACTGCACATGGGATGGATACCCAGGTGAAATGGTCTCCAGACAGCCCCTCCTTCAGTTTCTGTCCCTCACTTTGTCTCCATATTTGCTCCCTTGAGTGTTTTGTTCCTCCTTCTAAGAAGGACCGAACCACCCACACTTGGTCTTCCTTCTTCATGGGCTTCATGTGGCCTGTGAGTTGCATCTTGGGCATTTCAAGGTTCTGGGCTATTATCCAATAATCAGTGAGTGAATACCATGTGTGTTCTTTTGTGATTGGCTTACCTCACTCAGGACGATATTTTCTAGTTCCAACCAATTACCTAAGAATTTCTTGAATTCTTTGTTTTTAATAGCTGAGTAATACTCCATTGTGTAAATATACCACAATTTTTGTATCCATTCCTCAGTTGAAGGACATCTGGGTTCTTTCCAGCTTATGGCTATTATAAATAAGGCTGCTATGAACATAGTGGAGCATATGTCCTTGTTATATGTTGGAGCATCTTCTGGGTATATGCCTAGGAGTGGTATAGCTGGATCCTCAGGTAATGCTATGTCCAATTTTCTGAGGAACCGCCAGACTGATTTCCAAAGTGGCTGCACCATCCTGCAGTCCAACCAACAGTGGAGGAATGTTCCTCTTTCTTCACACCCTCGCCAGCATGTACTATCACCTGAGTTTTTAATCTTAGCCATTCTTACTTGTGTGAGATGGAATCTCAGGGTTGCTTTTATTTGCATTTCCCTGTTGACTAAGGATACTGAACATTTCTTTAGGTGCTTCTTGGCCATTTGAGTTTCCTGAGTTGAAAATTCTTTGTTAAGCTCTATATCCCATTTTTAAAATAGGGTTATTTGGTTTTCTGGAGTCTAATTTCTTGAGTTCTTTCTATATATTGGATATTAGCCCTCCATCAGATGTACGATTGGTAAATATCTCTACCCAATTTGTTGGTTGCCATTTTGTCCTATTGACAGTGTCCTTTGCCTTACAGAAACAAGGCAATTTTATGCAGATGGTATGATAGTATACATAAATGACCCCAAAACTTCCGCCAGAGAACTCATAGCCTGATAAACAACTTCAGCAAAGTGGCTGGTTATAAAATCAACTCAAACAAATCAGTAGCCTTCCTCTACATGAAAGATAACAGACTGAAAAA